TGTGTTTGTCCTGCAGGGGTCACTCTACAGAGAGAGCAGGACTCTCCTCTGCCTGTTCCTCTGGTCATCCTGCCCTACATGAAACATGGAGACCTGCGCCGCTTCCTCATTGCTACACGCTATGGTGATATTCCTATGGTGAGATGCAGCCTGCACATGCTAACATACTAGACAGATACACACTAGGACACTTGACATTTGACCCCTGGAACCCAGAGAAGATTGATTCACTCCCTCATGGTAGACAACATAAAAAAAACTATTATAACTATGGATCTTATTGGACAGACAAACAGCTTGTAAACCAGATATCTGTACAACTACTGGCCAGATGCTATGGAATCTTGTCTTAATATCAATACTGATATTGAAGCCAAATGTTTTGGTGAATGTGTAATTAGGAGTTTGTGCTTTGGTCAACAGAGGGCGATGTTGGATGACATTACATTGTCAGGATTAATGAGGGGGCAGTATTTTTTAATCTAGCGATTGTCTAAATGTGACTAAATAAGATCATTGACACATCATCAGCTGATGTTTCCTGGGTGTTTTGGATCTTTAAACATCAGACACCCTCATCCAGGCAACCCAGCCGAGGTTGACCAAGCCCTGGCTTGTATCTAGGTGGCACTACCCCACCCACAGCTCTCCTCTCCTGATCCACAGTCACCTTGAAGCAACTTCTGCTGCCTCAGTGGCCGACTTGATGGCCCCTTTGCCTCCTGGCCCCTGCGACGCCCAGCATGTCGTAGGCCCCGCAGAGGGACTTCACTGTGAACCCTCTGCATCCAACCTCAATGGGCTTGCGCCATGCTCACCACCCGCTGCTTTGGCATTCTTCCACTAGCTTAGCGTGCTTTACCTTCTTCCTCTTGTTGGCCTCCTCAGTGCGGTCCTCCCAGGGAGCGGTGAGTTCTAATAGGATGATCTGCTCGGAGACTTCCGAGATCAGCGCCATGTCTGACCTTAGCATTGTTGTGGCAGCAGTTTCTGGGAAATTCAGTTGCTTCCCAAGTCGACTTTCAGTTCCCAGTCTTGTGCCATCGCAAGCAGGCCAGAGGAGGTGTCCGCTACGGCCTACAACCTCTAAGATGAAAACTGAAAATAAAGAAATACTCGCAACATGCCGCGCCTTTATGTGTCCACAAATTTAAAAGAAATGACAGAACACACACTTCTTTACCCTCTCCTCCAGTTTGTGCCCCATCAGAGTCTCCTGCGCTTCATGATCGACATTGCAGCAGGGATGAACTACCTGAGCTCGCAGGGGTTTCTTCACAGGGACTTGGCTGCACGCAACTGCATGTGAGTCCATCAGAGGGAGACACTGAGGGGAAGAACCATTAGAGCAAGGGGAGCTTCAAATCAAGGCGTCCTTGTTCCTATCTGACTGTGTCTCTGTCCTCAGTTATTGGTATTCAACCATGGTTTGTATCTTGAAAGGAAGCAGTGACACAGGCTGAGGGCCTCAGGGGAGACTGTGGGGCAAAATATAAAAGATAGTGTGACAGAGCTCTCATTGTTCTTTGATCTGAGCCTAGAGATCACCGCCTTACCTGTGATTCTCATGCAAATGCACTGTTCAAAACTATTTTTATATATATGACCGCAGGCTGGGTGATGACCTCAGGGTGTCTGTGGCTGACTTCGGCTTGTCCAAGAAAATCTACAGCAGCAATTATTATCGTCAAAAAGTAGCTGTCCGTGTGCCGATCAAGTGGCTGGCCATGGAGAGCCTGTCGGAGTCTGTGTACACCACCAAAAGTGACGTGGTGAGTTCAGCCTCTATTATAACATTTACTGAACGTCTGAATTTTTACGTAAGAGTATGTCAAATTTTGATTTCATGTCCTCGTCCCCTCAGTGGTCATTCGGGGTGACCATGTGGGAGATTGTGTCCCGGGGGAGGACTCCTTATCCTGGGGTCCATAACCACGAGCTGCTGGACCTGCTGCAGTCTGGACTCAGGCTCAAACCACCTGAGGGGTGTGACCAGAAACTGTGAGTTCACTGCTCTCTCAGAGACATTTCTCAGTTTGTATTTGGATGAGTTTTCTAAAACTGAACAGAACGATGGAGGTGTATTTTCAGAAGTGTATTCTGAAAATATGTTTTATATATATATATATATATATGTGTGTGTGTGTGTGTACAGTATGTGTTTGTCCAGGCACAGTGACATTGATAATAATGTTGGTAATTTCATTGATTTTGTACCATTTCAATAACATGGAAACCAGAGAAATCAGATAGAATTGGTACGTTGTTGCCAAGCTGTCATTTCAGTCAGTTATAGTGACTTTTAACTGAGGTATTACCAGTGATTGCAGTATGACATAGTCCAATATTTATACCTATTTTAACAACTACCTCTAATTCTTAAATTTGTCTGTTAAGTTCAGTTTTGACTCACTATCAAACATATTCATTTGTTTATTATGTGTTTTTTTTTTATTTTAAATGTGTTCTAGTGACCTCATTTATCTTCCATTTTTCATCCCAACTTCTTCAGGTTTTACATAATGTTCATACTAATGTTTTGCACATGCAGAGATTTGGTCACAAAATAAATATGAAAGGTTTAGGAGAGAGTCAAAAACACATTTTATCTTCGAAAAAAATTTGCCTTTTTCAGATTTAGACTGTGTAAAGAATGGTTCCACATAGACACTGCTTTGTTTTAACCCACTGCTATAGGCTCTGATGCTGTATATCTACAGTATTTCTAATTACATATACCTCTCCCTGCCTCCATCTCACCCCACAGTTATGAAGTCATGCAGAGCTGCTGGGATAAGGAGCCGAACCGGAGGCCTGGCTTCGGGGAACTGGGCGAGACACTGAAAGGTCTTCTGTCGGAGCTTCCGGTCCTGGAGGCCAGCCAGGAGGCCAGCTACATCAACCAGGGCCTGGAGGCTGCTGCCGCTGTGGCTGCCTGTCTGGAGCCACAGACAGACTCTGGGGGGAGAGAGGGAAACGTCTACCTGCCGACTCCTGTGGCGGCTGAAGCTGCTGCAGCCAGGGAGGAGGATGTGGAGGAAGAGGAGGACGGCTACCTTAAGTATATCACTGGCTCATATGTGAAGGTGGATGATAATCACTAAAAAAGACGGAGTGTAATTCTGTATTAAAGTGGACGTCTAATGAGCTGTGTGTGAAAGGGAGATGGAGATGTATGTGTGTATAAACCATTCTTGTATTTCCAGGCCCTGGAATCTGATTGGCCACCATGTGTGCCCCCATACTGAATCTGATAATTGAGGAACAAAAGCTAAAACATTTTACTTGATTTTGCACTTTTTAAATATTTTGTAAATCTGTGTTGTATATTTTCTACCAAAAAAATGTTTGTTACTAGAAAAGGTAGTTAAGTGTGTGGAAGTTTGTTTCTGTCAGGAAAAAACACAAAGATAAGAAATATTAATAATGTTTAAAATGCCAATACTAAAATTACAAGATGCTAAATCAAAACTATGAGATTCTAGGTCAAAATTGAGAGTTGGGTTGGATAAAAAAATAAAAAAATAAAAGAAATTTCCAAATAATCTCAATTTTTATTTGAATGACCTGATTATTGATTCTTAAAATCCCAAAACTGCTCTTTGCATTTGCGCTTTTTTCTTAGTAAACATGTACATCTGCACTAAATGTTATGTGGCTAATTGTTGTAAGTGGTACTGTCAGGGTTGTATGATATGATAAAATGTCTGCTTTGTGGAATTTTTTTTAATTGCAACGTGTACAAAAAGGTTACTTTAAGTTAAAAAGTAATGTCAGTGATACAGTAGCTGCTGTATGAACCATCTTGAGTCACCACAGTCTCAGAAACAGAAAGAGTTACAGTCGATGTGGACTCACTGCTGTTTTTTTTTGTTTTTTTTGTATTATTGTTGCTCTACTGTTTTGTACATTTAAGCCTAAAAATGTTTTTTTTATTTTAGTTGTTTTGCACTTTGCACTTGCAACGACAATAAACCCTTGTTTTAAAACTGCAAACGTTGTGGACACTTTAATTAGTTGTGCACTTTATACAATTTTATATTCAAGGAAACAACAGTGGTGTTCACCTTATGAATGTAGACAAAATTTAAGTTCTCATTCGTGTTTATCTGATGAAACTGAATCATCAAGAATCATCAAATTGAATCTGAAGAGCAGTGTTGATATTCAGCCCAAAGAGTAGTACGTAAAATTATGAGATAATACACCAAACTTTTGACTCTCAAAGTTAAAATTTTGAGATGTTAGAATAATTAATTGATGTGATTTACTGTTGATGAATTGATTTTAAGTGTAAATAAGTAGACAAAATTTTGACTTTTGTCAAACATGCAAAACTGAGACTGAGCCATTAACTCAAAACTCACTATATCTCATGAGTTTGACTGAAAAAGTCAAACTTTTGACTTGCTATTTGGTCAATTATGACTAAGTATTTCATAACTGTGATGTTAATTTGGAAACAGATCTATTTTGACCTACCAGTACTTTTTGTTATTCTTAACATTTATTTTGCTTGTTTTTCTGGGAGAAATGTATTTCAGAAGCTGTGCATGGACCTGTAGTTGCCTTCTTCAGACTATAAATATGATGTATAGTTTTCATGTATTAAGGAATAATAAAAAGTAAAATTTTAATTTTAAACAAATATCTATCACAAAGTGAGATTTGTACCACAGAAATACATATATTTCATGAAAAAGATTCATTTTTTGTCCAGCAAAATACAACAAATTGGACTTGATAGCCCAAACACAAGTGAAAGGCTTTATCATGGAATTTTAAATTAAATATTGAGTTAACATTTATTTATATGATTATATCAATATTAACTGTCACCCAGTCCTAGCAGCTGCTTGAATAGATATTTTATAAACCAGTATGTCCTTTTGTAGTCGTTTAGTTGGATTTTTATAATAAACTACAAATCCCAGCACTACCATAACTTATTTTTCTGTACGGACACGTCACCCTACGTCACTACCGCACCTGCGCGGCCATCTTGGACTACTCGCTAGCAACGGACACTGAACAGCAGAGAAAAAGGAGTTAATTACACCTTAACGTGACAAAACAGGGATATGTCCGCTAGAATCAAGGATATATGAAACAGACCAAACACAGAGGAACGACCAGGGGACGATAACGGAGACGGTACAGCAGCCATCTAAGTGCCTCGGATACCCAGACCTTCAAGTCATCTTTTTTGCCGGAGTAGGAAGGAAGAGTCGAGTCACCGACAGAAAAACATCCAGAGTGAAACCATGAATCCTGAATAGTGAGTTATACATTAAACTGCTCCACTGCAAAGCGGCCTGTGTCGTGTTCAGTGAAAAACTAGAATTGTATGTTAGCTGGTTTATGGGATAACCTTATGTAAATAATGCTAGGCTAACTGTCGTTAAATTTATTGGCAAATATAAGCTAGCTGGCGATCTGGTGAACAGGGCGCGGACAGCTCCTTTAATGTGTCGGGTTTTCTCTGAACGTCAGCTGACACTTCGCTCGTGCCTCGTCGTGTCGGCGGTGACACGCGACCTTTCACGGGACAAACAAAACGAACAATCCGGTGTTAAACCGGAGGAAGACGGATCATGTGATGAAACGCTGCCGTAGATTAGACTGGAAACGGACAGCGTTAGCTTAACAGTAACAGTACATGAAGTAGTGACATAACAGATGAGAGATGTCTCTGACCTGTAGCCTCGATAAACAGCCTCAGCCTGCTGTTTTTTTGTCTTATAGGCGTGTGCATTTAAGTTGTCCTCCTTATGGGCACAGTTGCATAATATACATACATAATTTAGTCCACACGACAGTTCACTAAATGCACCATTATTGTAACATATCTGTTTTTATTTTTGTAACATTTCAGTTTTTCGAGCAAGGAGTACTATTTTCATTATTTGTCGATTTATCTAACAGCAATGAATATTTGTAACTGTGTGGTTGGAGCCGGATTTAAACATGTCACCAACCCGATTGCTGTTGTACCTGCTGCGTAATTTCACAAATAAAATGCCCACATTGACTCCTCTCCATTGCGGAGCGTGTCGGGGCTAAAGACAAGTGATACGACAGGTAGCAGGTGTGTGACGGCCGACCAGCAGCCCTGAAATGAGAGGACACCGTCACCCGAATCCCCTCTGTCAGTGCTGAGAAGCACAACACATCCTTCAGGAACCCGGTCTAACTAGCTCAGCTAACACCCCACACCCTTAGCAGACAGTTTTATTTCCCTGTGTTTACACACACTGGATGATCTTGTCTCTGGTTAAATATGCCTTAATATTACCTACCATTACACATAGACATAGTAAATACACCTGACTGGGGCAAGTTATCCACCATGTATTGTTAGTTTCACCATTTACAATATGTTTACATTTACTATATATATATATACATACACACACTATTAGATATTACTAATAATATTATCTTTTTACTTCACCCTTAAATTGATAAGGACATTACCTTCCCCCCACCCCCACCCCCCTGATGGTTCACTTGGCCTTGTTAAAAATCTGCACCTGGACCACAATCTGGTTTTGAAATCCCTTTATTAACCAATAATTAACTTACATCTATAGACTTGATATCTTGAAAAAGTGACTCACATGACCTATTTCAATAACATTCATAACTGCCGTTTTGTTATAAATGTACAGTCTTGGTAGACAGTCAAACAACTGAAGGCTTTTGACTGATCTATATATCATTTATTAATCATACTTACAAAAGCAGTCATGATTCAGATTATCAGGTGATATTTGATCAGAGAGAAAAAAACAGATTTATCATTTGATGGTAAATTGTAAGGCATTTTCCAAACCCTGCTCCTTATACATGATGAATCTCTAACAGCTCTCACCAGTGTTTTATTATTGTATTAGTATTGCTCTGCTTATTGACTTTTAGGACCAAAATGTGTCTGTAGCACCAACTACTAGACGTCAGCTTCAGATGGTCACATTCATAATTTTGTTGACATACTCTTTGATTCGATGCTCCAGATTCAAATAAAAAATTTGCCATTTAATTTGGGCAAACTAATAAATTTCCTGGGGCATTGTTTAACATTGGAGGTCTTTGGCTTCTTTGGGTATATGAAAAACTGTTTTTGTAGAAAAACCTGACCATCTTCCTCAAAGTAAGGTGCCAGAAAAAGTTAACTTTTTTCTTCACAACCGAACTCGGTTTTGGCACTTGTACTGAAAGGTTTCTATGATACAGAGCTCCTCTTACCTGTCAGTAATGTTGCCACAGTGACTGCTGTTAGCAGGCAGGTTCAGTTTAACTTCCTGTCTCCTAGCACTTAGTTTAAGAACATATTAGACATAAGATGGTCTTTGGACCCTCAGCATCAGGCCACATCAACATGAGCTGTAAGCTGTAGCCGTTTGGAAATGTGACCTGGGCTGATTGCAACAGTGCTACTGCAACGTTAGTGATATATTGTCAGTTGATTGGGTGTCAGGCTGTGATACACACCATGTCTCAGTTTCCTATGACACAAGAATAGCCCTGGCATTGGGTAATACTCTACAGCTGTCTGTGCTGTGTACGAACTTCTTGTGAAGTTGTTTTCTGCTCAGTGATTGGGTGGAGGGTGTTTTTTATTATTTCAGAGAACCTGTAAGTATCAGTAGTGGGCATCAGTCCTCAACAGAAAAACATGTTTATATTCCTCAAGTGTTGTTTGGCTGGAGCTCAGGTATGGGCACTAAAATCAAAAAGACCTAATCAGCAGGTTAATCAGGGCCTGATTAACCTGCTGCCGGGCCCCAGGGCACAAATCAGCTGCTTGGCCTGTATTAACCCCTTCTAACCCTCCCACTTTTCTTATGCTGGAACATTTTCTCTATGGTCATATATTGAATCACAAATTAAGCATGAAACTTCATTATTGACCTGCAAACAATAATAGGAAAAATATATATAGTCAGGCTCCACTTGCCAGCCTTTTCTGGAGCTTTCAACCACAACTGAGCTAACTGCAGCTGATGATGAGGACAATGTGATACAGTTGAAAGCTCCAGAAGAAATTATGAACAGGATTTTAGGTAATATATTCAGTTAAATTACACTTATTAATTAACACTCACTAAGTCTGAAGCTTCTGAGTCAGTATTGAATATTTTTCTTATTGATAACAAAAACACCCAAACAGAATATATGCTACTGTCTGATTCCTCTGAGCTACAGAGCTCCATTGTTTCCCAACATCCATTGAAAACACATCAGTGAACACACATTGTAGTTTATTTAGACTCAGTCCCACACACACCATTCTGCTGCCCCAAGTACTCACTAGAGCACCAAATGTGGATTAATCCACAGCTGAAAATAGTCCCAACAAATGCTCTATGTCCTCCTGTTTGAGTGATGTTTTCTAAAAACTTCAGTGAGCAGCAGTTTTAGGAAAATAATGAGTCTTTTTATTCCTCTGTACTGGTGACAGTCAGAGCCGGAGCATCATTTTTTTCAGGTTCTCCATCTGTCAGTCCCATTCTCATGAACCCCCTGATGGAACTTCTTCAAATTTGGCACAAACATTCACTTAGATTTTGCTGGTCAAAGGTCAAGGTCACGGTGACCTTACAAAGAACTCTCAAATTCATTAACTAATTTTGACACAATTTAAGTCGAAGTTCTAGGGATAAGGTCAAAGGTCAACTTCACTGTGATATCTTATGTTCACCAAAGACTGACAATTCACCATGTGAAATAATTTAACACACCATCTTTGCAGTATCGCTATTTTTTGTTTTTAAATATCTATCGTACATATTATACTATTATTTATCTATGTTAAGTATTTTATACATCATTTTGCAGTTTTCTTTCTTGTTCTGTCCACTTGTTGCTGTAATACTACAAATTTCCCCACTGTAGGACTAATAAAAGAATATATTTTCTTATCTTATCTTATCTTATCTTGTCTCATCTTATCTCATTTTATCTTATCTTATCTTATCTTATCTCATCTTATGTAAAAACACTGTTTTTACATCTTACATCTTATTCAACACTGTAACTCAGGAAGGACAGGTTGTGACCATATTTCCTGACACTTAGCTGGTTGGTGGAGGAAAATAACCATGAGATGGTGATTCTAGTTTAAAAAAATGAAACTACATATCTGTGAGGTGTTTTTAAGGATTCATGTCTTAGGTAGGAGCCAATGAAAGTGGGGCCTGTTGCCACAGACAGGACAGGGAAGTCAAATACAGAGAGATGAATTAACACATTGTTAATGACAATAAGAAACCAAACCAAACATTTGAGACATGGCTTATTGTGTCAGATGGAAAAACATGTTTATACTTAGTGTAAAGTATAGTTTAGGTTCTGTACCAGTCTTTGTGTCAGACAGTCAGATTGTGTTACTTTAATCAGCTCCTCCCTGTTCTGACCTGCATTGTTTCTGTTTCAGTGACTATCTGTTCAAGCTCCTGCTCATCGGAGACTCTGGAGTAGGAAAGTCCTGTCTTCTGCTCCGTTTTGCAGTAAGTAGTTTCTCCATCACTATTGGTCTCTGAGTGTCTCTGTTCCAGCTGACGCGTCTGATGTGTCCTCTCACTGCTGACCTGACCCCGTCCTGTCCCCCCTTCTCTGCTCACAGGACGACACCTACACAGAGAGCTACATCAGCACCATCGGAGTGGATTTCAAGATCCGCACCATTGAGCTGGACGGCAAGACCATCAAACTGCAGATTGTGAGAGCACACACACACACACACACACACACACACACACACACACACACACACACACACACACACACACACACACACACACACACACACACACACACACAAAACCCTCTCTGTAACCCTCACCTGAGCCAGGGCTTAGATCCAACCATTGTTATCAAAACACATGAGAGAGTGTGTGTGTGTGTGTGTGTGTGAGTGTGATTATGTATTCAGAGCAAGCTGTAATTGGAGCCTGTTTTTAGTTAAGGGAACAGAGGGAACAGACTGTGCCACCTCAAAGACATATAGTCTGAAGCAGATGCAGCTCTGCCTCCATACATACACTCAGAGTAAACAGCACAGTCCACAGTGTACTCCTGTCTAAACACACCTGGAGATAAACGAAGGTACTGTAAGTGTACTTGTACTTGTTGTAATTGTGCAGCCATTTAGCTCTTTGTCATTGCAGCAATATAACAACCATTCCCCTGGATCTTCCCACAGCCACAACCTTTAAGATCCTTTAAGTCTTTGGTATCAGGTTTGTCCTTGTGTTTCAACTGTATTTACAAACTGGGACATTATAGGCTTATGTCATTAAAAGGCAACAGTGGGACCAGCTGTACTATGACACATCTCTAACTCATTTTTTATACACTGTTTGTAGGCTTAATTCAGTTCAATTCAGCTTTCTTTATATAGCACCAAATCATAACAGACATGATCTTAAGGTGACAGTGAGAGGAAAAACTCTTCTTTACCATGAAGAAACAGCAGCCTCCAATGGTTGGGCTGAGAGGAGAAAGAGGGGGGAGAAGGGGGAGGGAGAGATACCAGGAACCACTGTATGTTCTGTTGTATTCAAGCACTGTCGGACTGGTTGCAATGATAGCAGCTACAGCTGCGTGCTTGCGTATCTGCAGGAGAAATTCAAGTTTAAAATCTTTTTCACACATACACAAACTTTCTCCTGCAGATTTATTTTACAGGTTTTAAAAAGGTTCACATTCATGAACATCACTTTACAAACTCAGAATCTTTTTGACCCTAGTCTGAGCCCATATGGTTGTTGACACTCCCATGAATTCAGGCTGAGCAGTGATGGCTGGAAGACACTACAAAAGCATCCATGTCTTTCACAGACACAGAAATAGATTAATAATGATGCTGTTAGGATTTGGCACATACCTGAAGCCTCACAGTCAACTGCCAACCACATCAAAGTTTATTTATTCTTTGTCATAAAAGCCTGAAATAGAAAACTGATAATTCCCACAAGAAGCTGGTTGGCAGATTCTGGCCAAACAAACAAAGAATGGCTGCAAACAAAAACGCAGAGGGTGAAACGAACTGTTCAGCTTCTACATTAACACAGTACATTCAACTTAATGTTCATTTCTAACTTCATCACTTTGCAGCTTTCTGCTCCTCTTTTCTACTCCTCTAATTATTTCCCACCGCTTCTGTTATTAAGGTAACATCAACAGCCCCAAAAACTTTTCACATTAAAAGCCTCCCAGAAGCTTTTCTGATTGCATTAATGAACTGAAAAGTTTTGGCTCATCTTGATCTTATTCCTGAAGAGAAATAAAAGTGGAAATGAGACACAGGTTTTCATAAATTGATATTTTAAATTGAATTTTAAATTTTAAATTTGAAGTTGTCAGACTTTTAGTCCAGATCTTCTTTCTCTTCCAGGCTTCTCAAACCTGAACCCGACCTGGTTTGTCTCAGAGCAGAAGATACTAAAACAACTTAACCAGCTGAACTTAACCTAAAAAATATTTCTTAATCTCTAAATATGCATCTAATGTCACTACGAGAAAAGAAAGATGACTGTGATGAAATAGTTGATGAACAGACTTCTAATGTTTTAATGCCTTCTGTCTTCCCCTCCCTTTGTGTCTGTGTGTGTGCGTGTGCGTGTGCGTGTGCGTGTGTGTGTGTGTGTGTGTGTGTCTCAGTGGGACACCTGTGGTCAAGAAAGGTTTCGTACCATCACCTCCAGTTACTACCGTGGAGCCCACGGCATCATAGTTGTATATGATGTGACAGATCAGGTGAGTCACGTTTTGATCACATGGTTTTGTGTCGTTACTTTTCTGAATATAAAGTCTGTTCAACCTTGTTCTGGTTTAAACCTTACTCTGAGCAGTTTGATTCACACTGAGTCCGTGGTGCCTCAGAGGAAAGTGACACAGTGAAGTTCATCTTAATAAAGTGTTGTAGTGACCTCAGTGTGAACCAGTAATGAGATCAGAGACTGCAGGTGGTCTGACAGTAGCTCCACACCTGCGGTAGAGGAGAGGCCCTGGAGGCCCACTTAATTTTTTTTACTTGTTTTGTTTTCAATAAAGCCTCACAGCTGTTTGATTAAACACAAAAAGACACACTATTTCAACACAAGTGTGTTTCATCCTAATATCAGTTTATAGATGATCTGCGTGTAACATATAGAGCCAATTTCGGATGAATATATTCATCTGTATATGACCTCAGCTTCAAATAAAGAAAATAGTTTTCAAACTTCACCTTTTAAAGTTATTAGTTACTAATTTGAAAGAATAGAATTAATGATCTTATCAGATTTTTTTATTTTCGACATAATGAAAACAAAGCCTTATAATCAACTGTAAACTTCTGCCTCAGAAATGACCAGAGCTGAATCTCTATATTGACAGTGTGAACAAACAGTGACCAGTGGAGCAGTGAGAGTATTTACTGCAGGGCTGCAGGGTTGGATTTCATCCGTTTTAATAATGTTTCATTGTATTTCAGAGGAATTCTTCTGCCTGGTCACAGAGGGGTTTAAACACTTTGTAAACTGTGCTGAGCTCCAGTGTTTAGTGTCATGCTGATGTTGTTGTCTTTGTGCAGGAGTCCTACAACAACGTGAAGCAGTGGCTTCAGGAAATCGACCGCTATGCCAGCGAAAACGTCAACAAGCTGCTGGTGGGAAACAAGTGCGACCTGACCACCAAGAAGGTGGTGGACTACACAACAGCCAAGGTATGGCTGCTGTTGAGAAGCTCATTTGACATAATTCCTTTAATTAATGTTTATTATAACAAATGAATGATGAGAAATTCATAATGACCTGTACCTCAGATTATAGACATAACAAATAAAGTCCAGTGCTTAATGAAGACCAAGAGCAGGTAACAAACAGGGAGGCTGGTGGTGGAACTACTTGTACTATAATGGCTCACTGGGTCAAGTCACTATAACATCATCAGTACAACAACAGTCATGCCATACTTTTTATTTTATTTTTTTTTATTTCTGTAAACTGATCATCAATGAAACACTTCCTGTCTGACAGTAGCTCAACAGTGACTAAAACTGTTCAGTTCAAACTAGAGCTGCACTAGTATAATCAAAGTCACAATATGTCCAAGTGCAATATCCAAATCACAGGAGCTGCAATGTTTTTGATGAAGGTAAAATGTGTTATAACATTGTTGTGCTTTGTTAACACCACAAGTGTTTTGGTGCTACAGAGACGCCTCGGCCTACAAATGATATTCTCAGATGTAAAGGAACATGATTGTTTTGGTATAAGAGATGATGGTGATGATTGATGATGATCAGAAGAATGATTTTTTCCATATCGTGCAGCTCTAGTTCAAACTGTGTTTCTGGATGAGAAGAGAAACTAAGAGCAGCAGAGAGGTGAAAAGCCTCTCTCTGATAGACAGGCCATCACATTCACATCCATGTGAATAAAGGCCTCAGCCACTATCTGTGAATTTAGGGTTATACTGGTAAATTTAAATGGTGGAGAGAATGTTTTACACTTAAAAAGTGGCTGTTAATGTTGGGTACAAACTGAAGCAGTTCAGTGTTTTGGGGGCACTCTGACTGTTTGGAACATGTTGAGTCTATAAATATGCACCTGAGAAGTGTATAGTGCTGCAGGAGCAGTGTAAGTACATAAAACTGTCCCCATTGTAATGCATTGTAACTGAAGTGAATTTAGCTGCTTTCTAAAGATAAAGTCACACAGAAGCTTCAGGCTCTGATACCTGAAGACAAAGATTATTGGTGTGGTGTCACTCTGGGCTTGATTTTCACAGTCCAAAGCGCATGGTCTAAAGCTGATGATGCAAGTACGTTCAGAACGTGTCCATCTCATTTTTGCTATTTTGACGGTGGAAAAAACAGTTGCTGCTCCAGGAGCATGGTTCAAACGGATTGTACTTAGTCATTTAATTATTCATGGGAGTGTTTTACATGCAATTAACCAATCATGGTGCCATCTCCCATTCCCTTTAAAATCCAGGTGCACTTGCACCATGGCGGATTGCTGTTCTAACAGCACAGTGTTTCACACAGGATCAGAGAGTACTTGTGGTGAGTTGATTACATATTGGCTTTCCCCCAGTGGAGGGGCCACATCCTTCAGAGGACGTGGTCTACGAAGGTGTTGACTGGTCCATGCATGATTTCCGCTTTGTGTCACCAAGCTGTGCCCTCCGTTGCAGTTGTGCTGCAAAGCGCGGCTCCTGTTGCCTAGCAACCTCGACACGCAACACCTAACTTTTTGTCACAGAAACGTAAGGTTTTAGGGTCATCGGTTTTAACAGTTGTACTTTTAGCTGTTGACCTGAGCTGAAACACAATACTTACGTTCAACAGTGTGATCCTCAGGCTCTCTGTCTGTGTTGTTTGCTTTCATTACTGGCGCGCAATGAATCTTGGGATAGGTTTGACCACGAAGGATCCACCTGTTGGATCCCTCATTGCCCAAGAAAAGGAAGATGGATCGCATTTGAAGGAGCCTGTGAAATGGGACAGTGTTAGCCATGCCTCTGAAGGATGACGCCCCTGAATTGGGACACAGCTAATGTCACTGACCAGTGCACCCGGCCTGAGACAGGCAGCAGCTCTGTGCACTCTGAGGGGCAAAAAAGGGCTGAGTGAATCAACGCGCCGCACACAGCTCCACAAAGAATTAATACCACAAATCATAATGTTAGACATCTTTTATGTTTATTATGAGATGTGCGAATACATTTTTGGTGTAATATGAAACTGTGGTGGACAAATTTAGTCTGTGTGATGAATGGGAAACACTGTGGCTCACTTTGCTTGGGTTTAACAGCAGCCTACCTATGTAGGAACATGTTACTCTAACAATGCACCTTAAGATAACTGAACCACTGACTTCAGACCAGATTTTTGTTGGTCAATCACTTTCTGCTTCCTCAAGATGAGAATGCGCCTGACCTAACCTCATTTTAAGACCAGCACGCCCATGGGTGCACAGATGGGCGCAAATGTGTTTGGAATTTAAACAACGTGGGCGCTGGAAGGGAAAATGACAACTGTGTCCGTCTGAAACTAGCAAAGACACTTGTGTTGCGCTTTGTGCTGGGTGTTAGATAGAACCCAAAGTCTTATTCTACATGTTTCTATATTTTTGTTTTCTCTCAATACTTCTTGACTCCCCTCCTCCGTCTGTGGCCCAGTGGCTCTGACAGGACAAACATTAAAACATGGCTCAGATACAGTGTTAATGGTTCATCTGTTGGTTGATCCACTTTGATGCTGTGTGTGTGTGTGTGTGAAACTGCAGTGGTGTGTGTGGTGATACATCGCTCCTCGCTACCTCTCCAACTGTGAGTTCGTATAGACACTTCACCTCACTTGTGTGTTGTGATGCGTGTGTTGCTGTGTGTGTTGTGTGCGAGTGTGCACCTGATGTGTGTGTGTGTGTGTGTGTCTGTGTGTCTGTGTGTATGTGTGTGTGTGATTGTGTGTCTGTGTGTATGTCTGTGTGTGATTGTTTGTCTGTGTGTATGTCTGTGTGTGATTGTGTGTGTGTGTCTGTGTGTGTGTTCATGATAATGACATGTCATCCAGTGTGGCTCAGTGGTGTGAGGTGTGTGATGTTTGTTCCTCTCGTCTGGCAGGAGTTTGCTGACTCCTTGGCGATCCCGTTCCTGGAGACGAGCGCCAAGAACGCCACCAACGTGGAGCAGGCCTTCATGACCATGGCTGCAGAGATCAAGAAGCGCATGGGCCCCGGGGCCACGGCCGGCGGCGACAAGCCCAACTTAAAAATCGAGAGCACCCCCGTCAGGCAGTCTGGAGGGGGCTGCTGTTAAAGGACCCCCGTGCCTCCACCACCCTGACCATCACCTCCACTACCTTCACACTGACATCTCCCGTTCTTCTCCTTCTGTGCCCCCCACCTCCTCACCATCATCCCACCATTCTGCCATAACACCCTGTAACCCAGCTCTCTGGCCCCCACCCCCTCTGTCCCCCTGCCTGGCAAACAGGAGTAAACTGTAAGAGTATTAAGATCAGACCTGCACACCACTCACCAAACACCAGAGAAGAGGAAAGGCAGCCAGTGTGTGAGGGAGACCCCCAGAGGACAGAGAGAAAACACATGGGGGGGGGTGGGGGGGTGGCATTGATCTAGAGTTGAAGATGAAGTTTAGAGCTTATCTGTACACACACACACACACACACACAGACACACAGTAGGAGGTGTTCCTGTGTTCCTGAATAGCAGCAGCCTCTGACTCTGACTCATCGTTGCCATTTATTGATGAGGATCCAGGGGAAGCCTGTTCACTGAGCCTCCTCTTCCTCCACCTGTCCTCTTCCTCAGCTCCATCCTTTCTCTCTTCAGGTGCGTTCAGACACAAAATGAAGCAAAATTTTACCCTCATTTGTTTAAATGTAATCGATTCACCCCAAACAGCTGTACAGATGTTAGCTCAGAGTTGCTTCCTTCCAGTTTCTCTCACCTCTGTATGTTTATTATGCGCTTACTTGTCTCTCCATTGACTTTGTATGTAACTACACAACTCTGACTTTTGCATCATACTCTGTCTGAACACACCTTTAAGTTCTCATCACGCTTCAAACAAACCAGGTCTCTCCGTGTCATCATCGTCACGGTGCTGGTCTTGGTCACAGAAGTGGGGAATGAAAAAACACCAAAGTACAAATGATTTCAGACTTTACTCTGAGCAGTTTGAGTCACACTGAGGTCCGTGGTGCTTCAGAGGAAAGTGACACAGTGAACTTAATCTTAATAAAGTGTTGTAGTGACCTCAGTGTGAACCAGTAATGAGATCAGAGACTGCAGGTGGTCTGACAGTAGCTCCACACCTGAGGTAGAAGAGAGGCGCTGGAGGCCCACTTAATTCCACATGTGAACGTTAGAGCTTGGGTGAGGAGGAGGGGGAGGAGAGAACTGTAACATATACCGTTTTTTCATATGTAAGAGAAAGAAATGTGACAAAATGCTGTAACATTTAGCACCGTGACCTTCTGGATGACACTAAATATTACAGTCAGAGGGCAGATAGCTCCAGATGTGGTGGTGGTGGAGGGAGGGAGGGAGATTGGGGAGGGGGGTGGGGGGTGGGGGGTCTCTTAGTTAGACACTCTGACAAACAGAAGCAATTGGTAATATCCTGCATTGATCTTACAATTACTGTTTTATTATTGTTGTAGTTTTATTGTTTTTTATTTTCCATTGATGCTTCTGACGGAGACGACAGGACGTCGTTTCGCTCTTGCTTGTTTGCAGATGAAGCTGGGGTGGAGATGTGGTGTGGGTGTGTCTGTTGGCTGAGGAGGCGGGGTCTTAACAAAAGCTGCTGTTCCTTCCCTGAGGTCGACCTGTCTGTCAAACACAGTTGTTTCCTTTTGGTTCACACCTGTCTCCTCTGCTTCCTCGTGCTCCAGTTTGTGCCTCTTGTTTCGTTTTACTCTGATTCTTAAGGCCTCAGTTTACTTCAAATGAACTGGGTCATACAAAATGTCAAGTGTGTCCACCTGCTCTGAAGGGCCACAAAAAGCCTGTTGTCATGGCGAGGGGCTACATGAAGCAGACATGTCCCGGTGAAGTAAAGAGGGTTTCAGATCCACCAGACACTTTGTTTGAAGCAAACTGAAGCCTTTAAATTCAGCCGAGGATGTTGTTTAACAGAGGAAATATCCATGATCTATACACAGACATGGACACTGGACGACCTCACCTGTCCTCTGAGAACTCACAGGTGTGTCTAGGTGTGATGAAGGAGCATTTTCAGGTTGTTAAAGTATGTATTTCAGCACAAAACATTTTTGACGTCCGATTTTCAACCAGCACAGACGTGCTGATAAAGTCTGTAAAATGTGGCAGAAAGCTCTGGCAGAGGATAGTAAGTGGACCTTGAGTTAAGATGTTTTTTTATTACCTGACACTACAGACACATGTTGGTCAGAACCAGGAAGTCCAGTAACAAACTGGGGCTGGTAGTTTCTCCTCTCTGCTGTACGAGACGGTTACGTGAATGGATTTGTCTGTTTGCCCTGACTGCAACTGGTTGGCATAGTAACGCTGAAATCAGAGACAGGTATGAGGCTGTTTACATGGCTCTCTGCCTCAGAGTGGGGTGAGGTCTCGGTGCTGTTCCAGGGTCTCTACACTTCTGTATGTGAAGCCTTATTAACCTGAGATGCAACTTTTGACCCAGTGTGAAGAAGATCTGGAAACTGTGTTGTTGTTGTTGTTGTTGTTGTTGTTGTAGGAAGCTGGTGACACTTTAAACTGTACTAGAGAGGCATCAGAGCTTTTTGAAGACGTCTCTCTCTCAGTTCTGTGGTGTAGTTGTTCAAAGCAGGGAGTCAGTTTGATCATGTGTGTTGTGTTTAGTGGCGCCTGGAGGTTCAGGGACTGACTGGTCCTGGTTTGCTGACCGGATATGAACTCCCTGCTCCCCCCGCCAGCAGACCATGTCACCGCAGCTCCATGACTTCCTTCAGACCCTTTCTGATGGGCCCCTCCACTCGGGCTCTGTTCCCTCTCCTTGACCTTGTCAGTGTTTCAGGTACGACGCTGCCTCGGGTCGCGATGATGCGTCACAAAGAAAATGTAGCTGCAAAAAAATGCAAGTTCAGCCTCATCATCATCATCATCATCCTCATCATCGTCATCATCATCATCTCTGCTCAGTCAGCGCTTCAGTGATCAGAGCGGAGCTCAGATGTGACGCCTCTGATCGTGTCAGTGTCGGTTTACACGTATATTTTTAGATTTGTCGAGCTGAACTGGAATGCTGTAGTTTGCTGAGCAGGAATCTCACATTAAGGGGGAGGGAAGGAAGCAGCAGTGTGTGTGTGTGTGTGTGTGGGTGTTTGTGTGTTTGTGTGTGTGCGCAGAGTGGGGAGGGGTCGTGTGTAACATTCCCCAGCTTTTCGGACACGTGTTGGTCTCCCGGCATCACGCCAGTCTCACTTGAGTAGATGCAGAACAAGCAAATTAAGTCTCACACACACGCACACACACACACACACACATACACATATATATATACTGGACATTTTGATGACTGATTTCCTTTTTTTTAATCTTTCTTTCAACGAGTCTTGATGTTCTACTGATTTTACTGTGCTCATTGAATACTCTACTGTGTTGTTTGGTCTGGGGGAGTATGAGGGGACACTGGGTGGGGTGGGGTGGGGGTAGGGGGACCTTGGGGTGAGGCTTTTGCTTCTGAATGTGATTCTGATGAAACAATGCTTGACTTTTTTTCTTCTGTTCTCTTTTTGTATTGGTTTGGGTTTGTATGTCATTTGCACACCTGTTCATCGCTGTTTATTGGCTCAATAAAGACACTCACCAGGTGTTTGTTAATAAAAAGCACTGGGCGGGAACTTCCTGTCACTCACCTTCTGTCTTCTTTCTGTTCGGCTTGTTCTGCTTGGCGCTGTCTCCCTGCTTAGTTTGATCATGTTTTTTTTTCTGTAAATACTATAAATATATATATATATAATAAAATGATGAAAAACATCAACGTCAACATGAGAGCTGCTGTGGTATTTTTACTCACCTGTACCTGAGAGCTGAGGGAGGGGGCACTGACCCCTTATTATCCCACAGTGTCTAAAGTAATGCAACATTCCTGAACTGGTACAATGTGTTTTACCATCAATAACCTCTAAAAAAAGATCTTGAATATATTATTGCAACAATAATTTTTACTTTACACAAAGGCAATGTCTTTGATGTAATTTAAAAAATTTATATCTCGGGAAAAGTAAAAATAAAATCTCAAATTGTAGCCGCAGGTGGCAATCTGCGGGTCCTAACCACTTTGCACTCAACAGAGAGAAGCAGCTGAATTCTAGTTAATTTTACAAATGAGCTAAAAGTCAGTGCTGGTGGCCCGTGTCATCACAGAGGCTTTTAGAGCATATTGCCTTGTAGCTGTCAGTTAAACTTTAAGTCAGTAGGACTCACGGTGTGGCGGGGGCAGCCTTTCAAACTTTTTGACCCTTAATTATACCACCAGGTGCTCCACAACTTCTGCCCAATGTTTAACCAGAGCAGGAGAGCAGAGTGGAGTTGAGCTGGTATCAGCATTGGAAAAGTGCCCCTGTAAGATTTGATGCCATCACCATTGCCAATGGTTACTGAGACACAAGTGACTATAAACAGTCAAGAGAACGAATTGTAAAATGTTTTTAATTCAACCTTATCTGATAAAACTTTCTGTTAATTAATTTCGAAAAGAGTATTTTCAAACTTGGATCATTTAAATCTGTGTTTTTGAAGCTTGATCAGACAAGTGAAGCTCCCAGCTGTAGATGTATTTGAAAATCTTGGCTCCTCCTAGTGGCAGCATCAGAAAATAACACTGTGGGATGCTGCTGCCTCACATGAATCTACTTAGAAACTTTGATGTCAAGCCCCTGTGGAGTTGAAAATGTCTTCTGAGCAAGTGGAAATGTTTGTGCTGATGCTGGGTCTTGAGATCAGGTCAGGTGGACCACCAAAACATGTAGGGATAATCTTAAACATACACCTCTGATTTCATTTTAATCTGACCAGTAGTTGTTGAGAGATCCTGCTGAATGGAAGGATTTGACATCATTAAACTCTCCGGCACATTGACGGAAAAACTGTGATGAAATCCCCGTCATTTTCTTGACAGAGTGCACTGTTGCACTCTGTCCTCAGCTTCCTGTACCTCAGCTAACATGCTGTAGATTTCCTCTGCTGCCTGCCATCCACACGGCGGACGCCCTTGATTTGTACCCCTGCCTCTCCCTCCGGACCTCTAAATAACCACACACACAGAGAAGATAATCTGTAGGTGCAGCTCCGCTTCACTACGTCACTGTGTCAGATGGAAACGCTGGAAAGGCAAATGAAGAGATACTTGACATTGAATAGTGCCGGTTGTTGTTGAGGCTCTGGTTCTGCCTCTGATATAAAACCCTGTGGCAGGTGGTGGAGGGGTTGTAGCTGCCTGCAGTCAGACCTCGGCAGCAGTGATATTACATGATAAAATACAAGTGCTATCTGCTCATACCCAATCAGAAACACCACGTTTATCTACATCTGACTGCTGAGATATATTTAAAGGGGCAGCTTGTGGAACATCCTTGTGTTGAAAAGGTAATGTGCTTTCTGATCACAGCTGCCCCTCTCCCTCTCTCTCTCTCTCTCTCTCTCTCTCTCCTGGTAGGGAGGCATGGGGCTGCTGGTGACCTTGAGTTATTTTTAGCACAATGGGGGCGCTGAAAACTGGGAGCAGGGCTTAGAGTCACTCTGTGGAGTCTGCAGCTTACTAGTGCGTGGTCTGTGTGCCGGCTGCACCTACAGGGGGAGGGCGTCTCACAGGGAGAGGCCTTCATGTTTGTCCAGCAAAAAAAAAAAAAAAGCAAACCTGCAGTTTATGGAGACACGTGTACAAGCAGCTTACCTACTCGAGTGTTGAGGGTTACACAGGTACTGGACCAGGTAGTCAGTCTGTCAGGGCTGGAGCGCGCTTCAGCCAAGCAAGTGTATCACAGCTGACAGAGATGTTTTTCTTTTATACCTTTATGCAGCCATATTGGAAGGTGGAGTGAAGAGTGTTTAACTATGGGAATAATTGCAAACACTTTTAGACAGAAAGCAAAGATAGGAAAAATAGAGAGAGTAGTTCCCGGCTCCTCTCTCGCTTCTGCACAGATGGCCAATCACATCAAAGGGGGCGTGGAGGAACAGAGTGAAGTGTGTCTGACACTGTTAGACACTGAAACACAGCACAGTGTGTGTAACTTTGTAGAGTTGTGGGGCTTTCAGACGGAGGGCGATCTGCTCTTGCGAGCACACTGATCAGGGGAGTCATGGACGACAGAGCAAAAATAGGCGGGGTTTTCCGAAATTCTAGTGGGACACGTCACTTTGAAGCAGGAAGCTCCTGCTGTGTTCAGAGTCTGTTGTTGCCACCAACAAAGATGTATCTTTCCTGTGCTAAGAAACAAGCCTTAAGCACTAACCTGCTAATAAGAATAAGAAGGGGAGCAGCAACGAAGAGGCCCACAGAGAGGCACAGAGAGC